AACGATTATTCTTACTTGAAACAGAAGGCGAAAAAGTAAGAGTGGCTTAACTCAACATATTGTCAGTAAGCATCAGAAAATTATTTCTGTTTTAGTAACTAAATTTCAGGTTACTTAAATTTTCCAACAACAATAGGGGCTTGGGGAAATTAAACAACTCACACTCTGGTATATTGAAAATATGTGTGACAGAGTTTTATTAACCTTTTAAAAATAAACTTTTAGTCAGCATTTAGTCAGATTTTTTCAAAAGCTCAGCAAACAATGGAGCTATTTGGCAGACGGAACACAGTGCAGCCCCTCTCATTTTTTCAGGAAGTTTCATTTGGTTAAACTTCTTTGACAAAGAAGCAGGCTGGGAGTGAAGCTTGTTCCAGTAAACTGGCAGAAACTTGTTGCCAGTTTAAGGAATATTTCGATGTAGACGGAATGTAATCCAGCATTGGGGAATCTGCTCATTCCCAGCCTGGACTCTCATTTCTATGGAGGAGCAAGCTATAAATAAAACTGTAATAGGAATATTTTCTCTAATAAGCTCTTAGTCTAAGGATGAAAGAGGAATGGCTGTCTTTGGCTTAGGTTGTAAGTCCATGTGTTCCTCAGGGAATGTGACACCTTTTAGGTAAGAAGCTGAATGAGTGGATGGTTCCAGGCTGTCATTCCTAGATATCTGGAACGTGAAAACCAGTTGTCTAAAACTCAAGTCCCTAAGATGATTCAAAAATAGCCTAATTTAGGATTTCAAAAATGTTTAAAGTGCTGAGAGTTCCAAACATTCTTAGAAGGTCAATTTCCAAATTTTGTGAAAATTGATTAGTTTTTTCAAGTATAAGTTTATTTTTTAAATAGATTTAAAATGTTATTTTAATATTTTTATTGCCTATGTTTAAGGTGTCTGGCAAGATAGTTTGTTATGCTTACCTTAATATACAACTACGGAGTGAACTAACATACGATAGTCAAACAAAATGTAAATTCCTCAGTCCCGATTTACCTTACAGAGTAAAGCCTGAGGGTTATTACATAAATACAGGAAGAGCAATAACATTAACAAAATAATGGTAGAAAACAAAGGAGAAGAAAGCAGGAAGGGAAAAATAGACCTTAAGAAAAACTGAGTGTCAGCGTATGTTGTGACTAGTCTGGATGACCATTACTGGGGGACTGAATACTCAAACGTGACTAATTCCAGTCTGTAGAAAGAAATGAAGTACATTTCTTGGCTAGGGTCACCATAGACAATGGTGAATGGGGTTGCCAGGACATTCAGGCCTCGATTTGTCTGACAGGAAATACAAATTTGATTACTGCTGTTCACCAGTTCTGCACAGTCCTGTGGTCTAGACTCTGCCCAGCTGGATCCTAGCAATGGTTTAGACACTGCGAAGTCCAGTCCCTAGGAAACAGAGTCCTTCCCTTAACACTGTACTACCCGGTTTAGGAAATACCTAGTGTAGCATTTTCGTTCTTCTACTTCGGTTTCTACGAGAAATATAAATTGTTTACTGATACTTAGGCACAAAGAATATAAAATCCTGACCCTTGTCCAGGAGCTTTTCAGACACTGGAGGTATAAATTATTTGAAATGAAGATGTAGCAATCCCAGAGAAAAGCAGATCCATGAGATGCAGGGGCAAAGGAAGGAAACGAATGTGAATTAAACACATAGTATGGGTCAAACCCTCAGCCTGGCTTGGAAAATATCCACTCGGCACCCCAGGTAGAAAGTAATGTCAGATTCTAAAAAAGCACAGCTCTCAAAGATTCAATGTCAACAACACATATTTAAAGATGCACGAATTTTTGTTAGAAATATATTACACAAAATTTGTAGGAGGAAGACCATATCAAAACACTCAGGTGCTCCTCATTATATTAAAATACTTTACACATTTAACAGCATATTTTTGGAAATGCATGCTAAGTTTTCCTCTGACCAACCATTCACTGTAGTCATAGCAATAATTATTAAACTGCAATAGGAAATTTGATGATCCTTCGTGTTCACTAAAATAGGTTTTTCTATGCAGACAAAATTGCTATGATTTAATTTTTTTATTCTTGCTAAATTAAATAGTTATAAATAAAGTAATGGCCAACACTTATGCATTTCACTACTGATCCTTAAAAGTTACAAAGATGTGTAAAAGTATTCTCAAACATAATTTTCAGCCTTTTTTATAACATACAAAAATAGCTAAAATGAAATTATGCCTTATGTTTGAATATTTTGCTCCAACTCCAGATATTTAATAATCCTTTAGAGCCCAATGAGATGCTGAGTTCTGACAATATATCAATTACATCTGTGCACCCAGAATTACACTGAACACTCACTGCATGAAGCCAGAGTCCAGATTCTCGTCTCCGGTAGCTATTTTAACATAATGATAGAATTTACATGTTATGGGGGGAAAATAACCCCAAAATAGACACAATTAAGCCCATTAGTGTCATAGATACTGGAAATTTGCCCCAAGGATTTCCATGATGAATAGTACATGTTTAAAAAAATAAGCAAAGTTGGTAATGCTGTATTAAAAACTATAACAGGGAGTAGGTAAATGGGATAAATAAAGACAAGTGTTACTTAACTATTGCTAACTAACAATTTATCAACAACTGAAGAATAACAAAGGAATACTTATGAATCATAACACCCACTGCCAACTAAATGAAATTTTATTCCCATTGTATAAATATAAAGAGATATATTATTATTATTAATATATATATATATATATTTTTGCAGTTTTTGGCCAGGGCTGGGTTTGAACCCACCACCTCCAGCATATGGGGCTGGCGCCCTATTCCTTTGAGCCACAGGCTCTGCCAAGTTATATATTCTTTAAGGACCATTTCAAGTGGTATCACTTCAGCTCAATGCTGGTTTTTTTTTAGTTTTGATCTAATATAGTCAAAACTCAAAAATTATTACTTAAATATAAACATTTTTCAAACATTGAGGAGTTTCCATAACTCATTTTCCATAAATGTATAATAATTATGACAAAATAATGTGTTTTAATGACTTTATTGTTAAGCACATAATATAACAGGCATTCTAAAATAATGGCCAGTTGCTTGACAAATACATCTGACTCTTTGAAAACGTACTTGGCTGTGCAAGGAATAATTTATTCTATCCCTGGCTATGAGTCACAATTCTGATTTATTAATTCTCCTTTTTATTATTGCAAAGTTAAATTTTGTACTCTTTCATAATTCTTGCAACTCCATTTTTTAGATGATATAGTTTAAAGTTACCATGAAGCAAAGAAACATATACAAGAATCAGACTCAAATAATGGCTCATCTGATGATACAGGACAGGTGGTGCCCCAGCCAGCTCAGCCGAGGTGGGCTGGAGGACCCACTGCCTCTGCCTTAGTGGTGTTGGTGCAGCGGCAGCTAGCAGAGGAACCAGTGGGCTGGAGCGTAGGCAAGGGGGGAGCTTCCCTCCCCCACCAGAGGCTCCAGTAGCCAAAGGGACCCGACAACTGCTGAGGAGATTCCCCTTTACAGTTATGACTAAATACAGAACCCCCATTTCCTATACCTAGGTCAATTTCATATAAGTTTCCTAGGCCTCAGTTTGTGAACAGACTGTGTCCATTCATTAGTACATTCATTCACCTTGCCCCAGGGAAGGAACTATGTCCATTCATTAGTACATTCATTCACCATGCCCCAGCAGAAGGAACTATGTCCATTCATTAGTACATTCATTCACCTTGCCCCAGTGGAAGAGACTGTGTCCATTCATTTCCTGGCCTCATATAGAAGGATCCCATGCACCTATAAATACTTAAACAGACAGAGATGGAGAGAGAAAAACAGAGAGAGCTTTTCTCTCCTGACTTGGGTTTTCTCTCCCTACCAGAAACTTTAGTGATTTTGTATTCTTTTTCTGTAAATGAATTCTGTCTTGCCACTGATCTGTGGTCTGCAGACTTATTCTTCAAATCACCGAGACCTAGAACCTGAAAGTCCAGTATCAATGTAATTGGAGCAGTTACCACACATCAGAATTCACTTGACAAAAGGACACATCTTCGTTTGCTTCAGGTTCATTATTAACATTGCTAAGCAAGTATTTTAAAGTTCTTTAAATAAATTATCAAAAACATATTGCTGAAATCATGATATACCAAAATACTCCCTCTTAGCATTTAAAGCACTTCTACGAGGCTTTGGAGTGATATCACTAGAAGTTAACATTACTTTTTCACCTCTTAAAAATTCATGGGAAAATAGAAAAACCCCAACACGTTCTCTCAAACAAAATGAAGAGCTCAAACATTTCATTTCAACTTACAAGTACGATTTTATATCAAAGTTGTAATGTATATTTTATATTCTGCTCCCTAGTGCAATTTCCTATTAATTTAAATATGACTAAAATGATAGGAGTATTGTAAACATTTATTAAATATATTTCTGTGGCTGTGGCTGTTTCACTGTGCTCAGTTCAGATGAACATGCTCTCCATTTGAGAAATGATTCTGTCATTTAAGTTATTTATTTTTCCTGGAAATGCCAGCAATTTGAAAAAGCCTAGGAAGCAGAAGTCTAATGATAATTTAGGGAAAACATATTATATGTTAAACTGATTTGAAAAAGACAACTGCATGTTTATAAATTCTCTTCTTTGAATAGGCATAAAAAGAAGAATTTAACGAGACATTCATCACTAACATTGCTAAATAAAGGTCCATCAAGCAGGTGGGACAAAGTTAAATCTTATACAATCGTATGGGTGTATTTGCTTTATATCTAAATTTCTTTATGGTTTCGCATGGCTCTCTATTAAAATTAGAGAAAGCTAAATTTTTTTAAAAAGTCATAATATTACAGGGGCACGAATGTTTTGGTCACATCAATTGCTTCTGTATAGTTTGAGTCAAAGTTCGACGTGTGCCCCTCAGCTGGACCGTGTGCACTGAGCCTGCTCAGTGTGACTTCCCTCTCCTCTCCTGCACCCTCCACTACCACTTACCTCATGTGAGTGATGATGAGCGTTGTGGTGGGGATGAAAAAATCATCCACTCTGTCAAACTGCTTTCCCACTGGCTGGGTGTGGATTGTGTGATGTGGTACATTCCCACTGGCCAGGGTTATTACCTAAGCAGAACACACCCTGGTTAGACCTCAGTAAGGTACTCACCAAAGAGCACAAGCTTCAATTTCATCGAGAGATGAAATCAATCTTTCTTCCTGGCAATTGTTTGCGTAAACTCTTTATTGCTCTCCACAATATTAATATATTATTAAGCAGCTTGCAATTCTGAAATTATTTAGCTTCTTTCTAATACCAAAACTTCTATTTCTCTAAAGAAACAAATTAAGGAAAAACGTAAGTCTTGAACACCATCAGCTTGAATAGAAAATGGACATAGAATCATCGTCTTTATTATAAAAATCTTAACCTCCTGATGAGAAAAATAAAAGCAAGTTCTCAGGTGGTGTGAGTAAGATAGGACAGAATCCTTCCTAGATAGCATAGCTGGTAACAGGTTTTTGCTGAAAACTCCAAAATAAATCATCTAAAATATTTTGGATTAAAAAATATCTTAGAACATATAAAATTATTATTCCTACCATTTCTTAAAATAATTGATTTAATAAAGTTTTAATCAAAGAAGTTTCTTCTTTCATCATGGATTTTTAAACTTCTATAATCCATTAAAAAAGACTTCATTTGAAATTTCTTATTCTTCTTATCCCTTTACCCACTAAATTCCATCAGTTCATTCTTCACATTTCTTAAATTTCCACCCTTTTTTCGTTTCTGCTGCACAACCGTGGTCCTGTGCTGACGTTTTAAAGGACTTTCTTTCCTTCCTTCAATTCTCCCACCAATTTAACTTCTTGGGCCACCAAATTAACTTCTTAAACTATTAGCTGACTCCCTAAGTTAAATACTGAGCCTTCTTCAAGATTGAATCCTTTCCTTTGGTTTTTATGGCAGAAATAAACAGCATTTTTATTTGAAGGGCTTGTTTTACTGACAGGGTGGTTTTCTTCATTCAAATGAATAGTTTCATTGAATTCCACTAGAAATTGCCATATTCATTTAAAATAAATAATCATAATAGTCAGGACAGGTTGTTATGATATAGTCAAAAAATGAAATAGAAAATAAACCTTAAAGTCTCAGTGGCATAGAAATTAAAGACTTAGTTTCACACGCTCCTTCCCCAGAGGGCTTTGGCAGGCTATCTACTGTTTTCACGGCATTCCATGCTGGAAGAATGGACTCGTATTTTGAGTATTTTAATTCTTAATACATTTCGTTTGTCAGAACTAATTACACCATTCCACCTAGCCAAAAAAGTCCTACCATGTGTCATGAGGTGAGAAACACCAAGGAATTTGATTAAAAACCTTTAAAAATACTATGCCACTTTTATTCATAAAGAATACAACTGCGAAAATTGTCCTTAGATTTTAGCTGTTCATAATAATGGCTGCAAGAATTGATTTAAAAGCAAGAAGAGTAACAGGGAGGGAATTCTCCAAATTTTCTTCCTTTTAAAGGGTATGGTAGAAATTACAACAAAGTGAGTTTACAAGTATTTGAAATTAATAATACTAGACTAAAGGTGACAACAATAATATCGAGGGCTTGCTATGATGTGCTGATATGTGTTCTAAGTAATTCACAGGGGTCACAAAGTTTAATATTCAAACAATGCTGTAGTGTATTTATTATAATCCCAACCCTACTGACAGAGGCAAAATACTTCATTACATGTGAACACCTGTTTTGTGGTTTGGCATAATCCTAAATTGTAATAAATATAATGCCTTTCCCCCAGATCTCCTAAGGGACATTATTTCCTGATAGTTCTAGATTCTTTATGCCACTAGAGTCAAATGGGTCACTCCTGATGGCCAGATTCAGGAGTGAAATGACCAACTTCAAGAACACACAGGTAAATCTTCGATGTGCCTTCACCAAGACATCCAATTCTGCAGCACCCCCGGCTCATTCCTGGCCCCATCCTGCTTCTGGGCCACAAACTCTCACACACCCACAGCCTCCACCTCCCATTGTCAGCCCACCCTGCTGGGGCCCACTTCCTGACCAACAGTAAATTGGGAGGACGGACTTTATTTAAAGTTGTTTCCTGGGGATACTTCCTCTGGGATCCTTGTGCATTTGCTAAGACATTTCATACCACTTACAAAACTATCAGTTGTAGACTCATTTTAGAACAGCATTACTTAAATTTTAAAAGACATAGATGACTTCTAAAAATTAAAAAAAAAGTTGTTATAAATCTTTGTGACTCTATCTGAGGACAGTAATTGGAAAATCATTGTTTTAGACACTTCTGGAGTTCTTATTAATTAATTGTACATGTCTCAGAAAATACATACTTTGCTTTCATAATTGACAAAGATGTGTAGATTTAATTATAATCAAAATAAAAACATAAAATAGGAGGATAAATAGAGATTTCTGATCCTTGATGTTTTGCACTTACAAGGGTCAGTAGGCACCATTATAAGATGTACTATATTAGGGCAGAAATGGTACTTCCTGGCCTTCACAAACTAGCATCCATCTCTCCGTCCAAGCTAATCTTTCAACATGATGGCACAGGGATGCTCCAGATAAAACCAAAAGGTTGGGCATATTTTTGCTTTTGCAAATTCAGTTCTCCAAAGAAATATTTGCTCCCTTTCCAAATGTATCTTAAATCCCATTTCCTCTGTGGCTGTTTTCCTAAAAAATCTCGTTGTTAAATGAATATCCATGAACATTTTGACATTTCGGCAAATCAGGTCTTTCTGAGCAGAGAGCATGGAAAGATTTGCTTAACCAATAATAGCATAGTAAAAATGCCTTAGACCCCAGAGGTGATGTATGCTCCCGAGAGATTTTGAGAATTATCCTTTTTGAGTCAATTACTGATATCCCAGGGAATTGACCTACCTCTTCTCTCCCAGGAAGACTTTCATACATTCCAGACAATTGTGGCCTGACACACCAGCAACCGAAAAATAACTTCTGGACATAGAATTCTGGGGTTTCTCTCTTATAGTCCCAGTGTGCTGCCCATGCAGGGTGACTTTAGTCCCTCACCATATAGCCTAATATTAATTCCAGTTGAAAAATAAACCCTAATATCCTCCACAAGCAGAGAGCCTGTGCTTCCTCTAGTCTGTCTATTACTCTGTCACTAATCATATATATTTATTTATACATACACACACACACATAATCATTTCATAAATGACTTCTTATATATACTTTTAAGGGACACTTCTCAATTTCTACAATTTATTTTCTATTATTCAAGTCTGACACTTATCTTTTCACTTCCATTCAGCAAATTTTTAAAAAGTTGACCCGGTGAGATAGCTAAAGGGTTAAAGAGCATCATTTTCTGGAATTCACGGAGGTGTACTGACCTGCAGTGTCGGTGATGTCTTCTCCATGGTGCCCCAGCTTAACACCCACACCTGGTCATGGGATTTGTCATAGTGTAATTTAACTGGGACAGGGTCCGTGCTCACTGCCTGAAATAAATAAGAGTTGAAGGAAAAAAAAATGTTTTCAGACTAGAACATTAGTTGAAAACCAGGTCAGAAATCATGGAAGATTCTAAGAATTTAGTTGTCAAACCAAATGTTTATTTTATCCTTTATCTACTTTTTTAAGCCCTTATTTGACCAATTTATAAATACCATTCTTTATTCAAACACATTTTTGTTCCTTATTTGCAAATTTTATATAGCTTTATGTCGTTTATTACATATGCAAATTTTGAGTCAAGGAGATGTGATTTAGAAACTGAAAATGTAAAAGCTTAATATGCTCATTTTAATCAAGTGTTGAATGCAGGTGAGAGCTATGTTTACACTGGCAGTCTCCAATTCCCAGCCACGGACCAGTACTTGTGGCCTATTAGGAAAAGGGCCGCACAGAAGAGGTGAGTGATGGGGGAGGGAGCCACACTTCACCTATATTTACAGCCACTCCCCATCACGCACTGATTCGGAATTATGGGGAGTTGTATAATTATTTCATGATGTGTTACAATGTAATAATAATAGAAATAAAGTACACAATAAATTTAATATGTTCAAATCATCCTGAAACCATCCTCCCCTCCCCCAATCCATGAAAAAATTGTCTTCCATGAAACCAGTCCCTGGTGCCAAAAAAGTTGGGGACTGCTGGTTTACACTATTAAGTTTTTTTTTTTTTTTTTTTTTTAATCTCAATGCTGGTCATGAGATTTTTTTTTTTTTTAACTACAGTGTTAAAATGCCAACCATCCAAAACATGGTGTGACTCTAATAACTAACTGATTAGCTAAGTCAGTTTCCTTAGTAAGAAATCCAAAACCACAGAGGAAAAAAAGAAGCAATTTTTTCTCACCATGCTTGCTATGGTATCTATGTTTTGTACTAATATTTATAATATTTAACACTTACTTAAAGCCCAGCTCCCAGACAACAAATTGCTGCCAGGAAGTTATTTCATTCACCTTAATTTCAAGCTATTTATATTAAAAGCTGAAACTATTTAAAAGTAATTTCCTGTAGTAGGTACTTATATATATGTTCTAGTTTTATGACATAAAACAAATTGTATTCAATAAAACAACCTTTACCCAATATTGAAAGCATTTCTTTCTAAAGCTCTGCTAAATATCCTTGGAGAATTTTCTAAGTGCTAATTCATAATGAAATGTTCCAAGTGTATTAATAAAAGGTAACCTAAAGTTGTGGTTGGACATATGGAAATTCATATTTTAAATTCAATGTCGGCAATTTAGTCTTACTAATGTACCTCTTTTCTAAAACCATGCCCTTCGTTTTGCCTGTTTAAAATTCTCAATCTTCTTGGATTACTGAAGTAAATATTGGTTTTCAGAGGAGACATATCGCAACATTTTTTAACAATATTTTCACCCTTCTCTTCCTGGCAAACACGATCAAGATTTGGGGATCAGATGGGCAGCAGTGTCCTCAGGGAAAGTAGCCCACTTGGAGAATGCCAGAAATTTAAGGCAAAGTATAATCTCATTGCCCTTTGATGGATACTAATTTTCCCAGCCTCTTCAGAGGGTAAGAGTAGCCACATGGCATATTCTAGTTTCTCTACTGTCAAGAGTAATATGATGACTGAATTCTGAGGATGACACTGCTTTTCATCAACACGGGTGATTAGAGGAGGAGCCTTCCTTCCTCACACTCTCCCTTTCTTCCTGTCATCTGAGGATATTAAGCCTCGATTTTCCAAAGGCATTTTGAGGCCACGAAGCTGTCAACTGAAAGGGGAGAAGCCAACACTTAGAGGATGCACTTGGAGAAGAACAAAAGGAGACTGACCTGGCAAAGACAACCTTCAGTCGCGATACAACCTAGAACAACCGTCTCTAGACTTAATGTTATTTAGTTCATTAAATAGCTTTATTGCTTACGTAACAGTGTGGTATTTTGTTAACTGTGTGCCAACACCAGACATTTTATTTACATTTGTTCATGTCCTAATCAATAATTTCAAGGCAGGTGTAACAAAAGAGCGACCATGAATCTCCACATTCATGACAAAGAAATAAGATTCCTTTGATTATTCATATTTTCCTCTTTATACATGAAACTTGATCTATGTGTGAATACTACGTCAGCCTATTTTGCCTGCAGCTCAAAATAATCTCTAGGTCATGAAAAATGTTAAAGATAAAATAGCACAATACAAACAACAAAAGCAACAATAACGATAACTTCCTTGCCATTCAATTGTAAGAATACCTAAGTGAGTAAAGGTCTGTAATTTAAATATCAGGAAGCAATCTGAAGGAAAACGTCCAGTTTGCCAGTGCTCACTGGTTGCTTTTCTCTTCACCAGGCATTTCGTTAAGTATTATCTTACCTTTTATTAAAGGCACACTACGATTCATGGATGATAATAACACCCACATTTAATGGGATGAGGAAACTAAGGCTCAGTCTTATCAGGGGTTCTCTGACCAGTGATCAGCACGGCTGGAATATAACAGCCTTGCCCTCCCACGTTGGGAAAGACACTCCCTCTTAGTTGAGTGATACTTAACTCCTAAGAATGTCTGGATGTCTTGTCCTCTTAAGTATTTATATTTCACAAATAAGAAACTATCTTTGGAATCTTTTTTTCTCTATTGGGAGATGAAAAAAAAAAAGAACCAAAAATCTAAGAGGCTCAAATCCGTACAGTATCATGTCCAGATCAGTATGAGGCTGGGGGAGAATCATTGAGAGTAAATTTACATCATGTTTATGAGTACGTATTCTGAAGCCAGCTTCAAATTTAAGCTTCTTCACTTAAATTATAACAATACTTCTACTATTACTACTCATAACAATACCTTGGGGAAGTTACCAAACTTTTCTGTGGCTCACTTCCCTTTTCCATTAAGTGGAGAATGTCATCTATCTACTTCTCAGGTTGCTGTGAACGTTAGGTGAGACAGTAAACATAACGGGCTTGGAGTGTGCTTGGTGAGCAGTAAGCACTGCAGAAATCCTGCTCAGACTCCAGCTAGTCCTGTTAAAAACACTAATTTAACTAGAAGTAGTCTCACGATTATTAGTATTGTAATGTTTTAACACTAGATGCTAGAGCATGTTTAATGCAATACTCTTAGTTAGCAAACGAAAAAACTGAGACCTAGGAGAGAACATAAATAAACGCGGCCACTGTCCTTGGAGATTTTATAAGGTAGATGGTGAACGAAGGACTTAGAATGAGTTAATTTGTGACAAAAATAAGAACCAAGTTTTATGAAAGCACACGGGAAGAAGTGAAGTGCATGATGGGAGATAAGGAAAGGAGGGAATGCTTAGTTGAGCCCTAGATTATGGATAATTTTATGAATGGGAAGACAGAGACTTGGTTTAAAAATTAATTGATGAAAATACTTCCCACACAGTATCAGAAAGTATCATTGCCTTCTGTTCATGTTTAATTACCTTCAAGTAAATGTAGTTGGAGGAAGAACATATGAACCAATTTTCAAAATAAATTCACACATTAAAAGAAAAGTCTGCTCAACAATCTCCAAAAAAATATAGAATATTGTTTCCAGCATTTCCAGAGTTTAGTTCTTTTAGTGTTTGATGATAAAAATTCATCAGAATTGCAAAAGGCATGCAGAATAAAATGGGGAAAATAATGTGGCATGATTTATTCGGAAAAAAATTTAATTCTTAGGAAAAATCTCTTTACAAGGTTTCATATGTAAAATGTCACATTTTACAGAGGGAACATTTATAAGCTATTCATCAACAAAATTATACAATAATGACAGAAACATTTCAGATGACCATCTTTAGAATAATCTTTGCATAATCCAATTTCAGTCAAAAGGTAGATAGGTTTGTACTAATGTCATCAGCTTTGGAATTAAAAGAGATAAATTAAGTTCTGAATTTTATAAAATATCTACTACTATACTCTTAAAATTACTTGGAAGAATAAATAGATTTAGATCATTTCCTTTTTGTAAAACAGAAAGGTAGTATTTGGGGCACTTTTTAAAAAACCCAAGAAAACCCGTGGGCTCTGTGTCATAAAATTGTTTGAATGTTTCTCCACATGTTATGGAAAGAATTACAAGAATAATTCCATTATCCTGAATTCCCTCTTTCTCCTCAGGAGTGCACTGGATCCACCCTCTGCAGGCTGATCTCTGCGACATTTCTGCCATCACCAGGCTCAGAGTCACTGTGGTCTAACTCCATTACATGACCTCTGATTTCCACCCTTACGTTCCTGAGTCTCTAACTAGAATCCTCAGAGTGCTGTTTTTTAATTCTTCTTCTTCTTCTTCTTTTTTAATCCATTGAACAAATTGTGACACTAACTAGCTCAAAATACCACAGGACCTTCTCTTAGGGCAAAAGCCAAATGGCTTTGAAATGGCTTCCAGGACATCCCTGACGTGACCCTCCCAAGCTTCCTTCCCAGACCCCTCACCTACTGCTTTTCTCTTGATGTCTCTAACGCAGCACAGAAGCTCCCGGCCTCATTTGCTGTTGCTCCGACATGTCAGTCATATTCGTACCTTCTGAGAGGGACATTCCCTGGAAAGGTCTCACCCTGTGTATCCCCATGTCTGGTTCCTTCACCTCTTTGCTCAGAACTCTTCTCAGCAAGGCCAGGTTGACCACTCTTTTTAATAATGGAACCACCTTCATAGTGTGAATGTCCTTTTTCCTGAGCTTTCCCAGACCTGCCTAGTCTCACTCTACTCTTATTACCTTTACCCGTAACACTTACCGCCATATTGAACAATGTGTGTGTTTTAGCATATTTATTTTGTACTGTGGCTCTCCAGCCAATAGGTTCTAGGCTCAACAATAGCGGGCATCTTCTGTTTGTTTAGGTCGATGATATAACCCAGGCATGTAGACTGCTACTTTGTAAACAGCAGTGCTCAATTTATAATTGTATTAATGAATACAATGCATTATATTCAATATAAATCTACTTAACTGTGAAAAGTAAGTTGCAAAGAGGTTCAGCATGT